TTTTTAAAAAAATTATTGAAGGCGTCTTTATGCAAAAAACACCTTTAATAATCCCCTTAAATTTTGATGAAGAGATTATTGAAGGCATTAAAAACATCTTCAATAATCTCTTTCAATTTTTTAAAGAAAATTATTAAAGATTTTTTTTTTGTAGAAAACACCTTAAATAATCCACTGTAAAATTTTAAAATAAATTATTTAAGGTATATTTTTAGAAAACACATTCAATAACCTGCTTTAAAAATTATCATAGGATTATTGAAGGTATTTTTGACTAAAAATACCTTTAATAATCTCCACATCAAAATTTAAGAGGCTTATTGAAGGCTTTTTTTTGGTCAAACACCTTCACTGATCATTTTTTATATTTATTATCGTCTTGAACTTTGGAATCTCAAATTGTTATTATAAAGAATGATTAAAAACTGCATTGTAACCAAACCAAAACCCCCAAACCCATTTAGTTTGCCTTTCGATTTATTTATCTCTCTCATCACCGTCGACCTTCAACAATTCAACGTCGTGCACCTCTCTGTTTATCGATATGTCCTTATTTTATTTTATTTTTATATTTTTTATATCCTTTGATATATGTTTTTTTTTCTCATTCCTTACTACATATATTTTATTCATTCCACCATTACATAAGTGTAAAAAACACTTTTCATTGTACGCATGATGTTTCTATGTAGTTTGGTTTAACTATTGTGGTATGCTAAATGGTATTGTAGAATTTGTCTATATTTTTTTACTCATCATTTGTTTTGCATGGAACTCTTATTTAAGGTTGGAATCACAGTATGGCTTGTCTTCGTAAAATATTATGGGTTTGAGGATGATTTATGCATATTGGTGTAGTAACTGTAGTATGATATTGATTGTATTTTATTATATTCTATGTGAAATTTAAATAGACAGTTTTGTGTATTTCGTATAATTTTGATCAAAATCGTAGGTATAATGAAATTTGAACAACATACTTCTCTTACTACTCAACATAAAAAAGACACACCTGTAGGGCAAAAAAAAGAAAGGAAAGGGAATGAAATAAACAAATTGAAATGATTGACACAAAAATTCACGTCCACTTCAATCAAAGTGGGCAGCCTATTTCTGATGGAGTTGCCAAGTTGGCTACTCGTATTAGAGCTGTTGTTCGTCGTATCATTTCAATTATGTACCATAATTGGTGATGAGTTCCTATCAATCTAAAGAATAGTATATGAGAGTCTGTTGTGGTATATTTATTCAATTATTTCATAAAATTTGCTAAATGGTCATTTAATTGAAATTCAATGTATTCATACTAATTGTGTTAATTTTTTTAGAAACGGTTTGACGTCTTAATTGAATGTAAAAAAATTGTGTTATAATCGGCTCAGAAAGCATTTAAAGACTTTAAAAGCAGATTAACAAACTAATATATTTTATCACTTGTTGATCAGGATAATATATCAGTTGTTCCACCTATGTCATATGCAGATATTATAAGTTATGATGATTGGACAAAATTTATTTGAGATCAACTATCAAAAGATTTCTTGGTATGCATATCCATTGTAAAAAATTATTTATGAGATTTTATATCATATATTCGATATCTTAATATGTAATTTATTTAATTTCTTTCTTTCCTAGAAAATCAAAAAAACAAACAAACATTCGAGCCAAACAATTATATCACCATTGAATAACGAGAAAGGTTATAAAAATGTTAAATATGAACATGTAAGTATTCACACATTTGTTTTATACTTATAAATGAATATTTATGAACATTCACTTAATAGATTTTGATTTTTATATTGTGATAATTTATTAAGAATCGACTAACTTTGATACAAAGTTTTCAGATAGGATATGTGGAAACAAAGACATATGCGAAAGGATGGATCATTCACAAATGAAGTAACTAAAGAAATGCTAAAAAGATTGTATGTATAACTGCTCATTATATCATGTATAATTGGCTTTATACTTTTATGCGTGATTGTATACTAGCTTGTATAGATTTGTTATTACGGCCCATCTTATTATTTTCTTTCAAGATGATTATGCTAGTAAAGTTAAATTCGATGAACCAGTAACCCATTATGGTAAATATCCCTTGTCTTTGGCATTAGGTGAGAAAGAAAGACATGGTTAAGTTTAAAGGGTTGATAAATTTATGTTGCCATTAAAGTTTTTTAGTAATCAATAAAAAATACCTCAAATGATGAATGCACAATATAAAGCAATCATTAAGCAATAACAGCAAAGACTTGATGAGTAAGAGCAATGCTTAAATAACCAACAGCAACGATTTATGACTTTAGAGGTGATGTTGGCAGCAATGTAGCCTAGCATGTCTGCAGGCCAGTCAGATAGCATCATCCACCTAAGACAAGTTTTCATTGTAAGTTAGGTAGTAAACCCAACCATCGGTACCAACCATGAAGTATGATTTTGGTTATTCACTTAATATTTATTTTTTACGTTTATTGATTTGGTATTAATATTTATATTTCATTATATATTATAGCAGGATGTTGGGACTTAGAATATGACCCATGCTTGGATTGCCATTGATGAGTTAACTAATTATTCGGTTGATTATTTATCACAAGAAAACTATGTTACAGTTGAGCTGAGAATGAGTTATTTGATCAACCATCACTTTCTTCCATTGGTGAGGATAAGATTAAGGAATTTTGTAACTTTGATGAAATATCAACTACTAATATTGTGCTTATATGTGATTAGCTTATAAATTTAAATATGCAAAGTCAATATTTATTAATTTATATGACGGTGTATTACAAACTAGTATTGTTGATTGTTATCGTACAGCTTCTTATATAGAGAGATAAAGGCGAGAGAAATGACCCATCGATTTAGATTCGTTTATCCTAATTTCATTAGTAAGCAGAGTGGCATAGTCATTTTTCATGCTCATCATGTAATTGAATGCATAAAAAAAGTGCTAATTATTATTTACTCTCATATAATGCTACGTAACTTATATTTATACAAATAATTAGTCCAACATTAATCGAATCTGAGATGATGCCTAATCTAAGTATATCATTCTTATTATTTTGCAATTGTCATTGGCAGCTTATTGTTATTGATGACAATTCTTTAATGCCATACTTACTTAATTCGGCTCAACTATGGGCAATGCCTAACCTCGATATTAAAGCATTTATAAAGAGGTATTAAATGTTATTATATTATCTTTTGTTTCTTCATAATTATTTTTATTTTTGAATTAACTAATTTTTTTCTTTTCAATTTAGGGTATTGTTTGCAGTTGGTAAGAAAGCAAAGATAAATTGATGTCATTACTAGTAAATGTAAAATTTATTATTTTATGTTGAGTTTGTTTAGATACATGTTTCTTAAACCAACTAAATTTATTTTCTAGGTACCTCGTCAATCAAGATATACTGAATGTGGATATTATGTCTTTCATTTTATGAAGGAGATAGTAATATATGATTTTATGATCACACCATTCAATGTTAGTATTAATTTTATAAAATCATTATATCTTAAAAAAAAAAACTAAATTATGTTATCGTTTATTAACATTCACTTGTGATTTTTTTTTTTAGTTGGAGAGTAAAGAAAGCTTCACAATAGACAAACTTGATGAAATCCGTAAAGAGTGGTGTGAGTGTGTTTTATCGTTTACTAAACAATGAGCTTGGACATTATTGGTTGTGTGTAAATATATGCAATTTATTCGTTATAATGTTTTTAACATGTCATGTTGAATGGATAATTTAAGTTTGTAGATTGGAATATTAGTTTAAAATTATTGGCTTATATTTTTTTATATCAATTGGTTGTAGCTTTTATTAATACACATATATTATGTACACATATATTTGAAAAAATATATTTATATGATAACGTTATTAGTTTTAAATTTAGATGTGTGGTCTATATATTGAATTACTACAATGTTCATAATGTAAATTACAAAATGTAATTCGTAGTATCAAATATGTAAACCAAATATTTTCTGAGTATAAACCTACAACTAACTTCCTCTCCATTTGTTTTTTGAACAAAAACTCCTTCAATTATCCCTTACAAAAATTGAATGAGGTATTTAAGGCGTTTTCTGGCCAATACTTCAATAATCTCTTCAAGTGATTTGGAGGATTATTGAAGGCATTTTTTGTTAGAAAATGCTTTGAATAATCTTTTACAAAAAATTGAGTTATGTTATTCAAGGCATTTTTCTGGCAAAACACTTTTAATAATCTCCTTCCATTGTTTCTGGGCAATTATTAAAAGCGTTTTTCAACAAAGATGCTTTCAGTATTGCCTCTATTTTTTATAGGAGAATTATTCAAAGTGTTGTCTGTCAAAAACACTTTCAATAATCTTTCATTTAATTTTTTATAAAGAAATTATTGAAGGTATTTTTATCAAAAATACTTCAATAATAAATTTAATTTTTTAAAGGGGATTATTCTAAGCATTAAAGTCGATAAACACCAATAATAAATCTAATTTTTAGAAGGAATTATTCTATGTGTTGTAGTCGATAAATGCCACTAATTTTTATTTTTAGTGGTGTTTATAAATACAAATGTCGTTATTTGAATATTTAGTGGTGTTTTAATAAAAAATGCTTTAAGATTTATAAAAATACGAAAATTAACGACGTTTCTAAGTGAAAAGCCAATAAAAAACTGTCACTAATCTTTTATTTTCTTCTGGTGCTTGGAGAAGAACAAAATCAATGAGATATTTAAAACGAAATATGCAGACAGATTTAAATAAATTAACATGTACATTCAATAAGTTTGACGCCAAAGTCAAAGTCGTTCCTGAAGAAATATCTTCTCGACGAAGGCCAAATTCTTCCGGCAAACCGCCTTAATTCATGGAATACTCTTTGTGTAGAACTTAAGATTCCCCGCATTTGAAAGCTATAAGTCGAAAAGAATGAGAAAGACCCTAGTTAATATTTACCCACACTTTGTGTTTCTCTTCGTTGTAGAGAAAGTGATTGATATAACTTCCAAGGATTAATGGTGGCATTGAAATTTCAAACTTTGACAAGTTGGACAATGATATATGCAAATTTATTATCATTATTTCTCGCTATGTTTTCTCATATCAAAGAGCAAGATTTAACTCCCTGCTCAGTTTCATACAGATTTTACAAAGGCCATGGACAAGGACCATGCCCACCAAATTTCTTGACCTTATTAATTTAACCAAATTTAAACATTAAAAAAAAAAAGTAGAATTTAAGTTCTTAAACCCTAGGCCTTGGACCAGGAAACGTCTACAATCCCCTCTTCTTTATCCAGCTCCAAAGCACTCCACACAGCATCAGACCCATCAACAATGTTATTCTCACAAGGTGGCTGGTATGCATGCTCTTCGTCGCACCCACGCCTCGAGTCACACTCGTCAACCACCTTAGCCGTCACGCTTCTTCCGTTACTGGCGGTGATCCTTTATGCAGCTATTCCCAGTCGGCTCTGCTACTTCTACTACATGATTTGAGTTCCCACAGGATCGTCATTATTGCACTTGCCTTTCATGCAAATGGGGTAATCATATATAGCAGTCTTTGAGGTCTAGGCATGGACCGTTGCTTTGGGACATGCTAGCTTTCCCTTGTTAGAAAAACTGATGGGTCAGTTGATATGGAAGGATGTGGGATTGGAAGGAGCATCTGTGCATGAATTTAGGTTCCGTTTGGTTTGCGAAAAATTAATTTTTGAAAAATAAATTTATATTTTTAAGTTCTTGTTTAATGAAAAATTGATTGGTCATGGAAAAATGATTTTTTATCAATAAAAAATAAGATCATTTTTTTTTTAAATTATCTTACAAATTTGAAAAGGAAAGATATTTTTTAAAAAAAAGCTGGCCATAAGTAGAATTATTTATCAATATTTTTAAGCATAATTTTACTTATAAATAATATTATATTAATAAATAATATAATAAATATTATTAATTTAACTAATAAATATTATAATAATATATTTATAAATAATATACTATTAATATAATATATTATTAAATAATATATAATATATTAATAAATAATATAAAAGAATAAGAATAGTTTTATTTTGAGTATTTTTATATTAACATAATATTTAATATTAAATATTATTATTAAAAATATGTTATTTTTAATGTTAATAATTTTAATAATAAATAATTTTAATATATCTTAATAATAAATAACTTTGAATATTTTAATAGTTATATTAATTTATTTGAAAAAAAATAGATTTTTCAAAAAAAAAAATAAACAACGAAAAATATTTTTATTAATTTATCCAAACAATTAAAATTTTCTTTTAATTCAGAAAATGTAAGTATGTTTCAAAAATCATTTTTCAGAAATTATTTACTGTTAAACAAACTTAACCTTATAAAATTATAAGGATTTAAACAGAAATGTCCTCTTTGATAACTGAATTCTTGTCACAATATCAATTAGATTATAAAGAGCACACAACTGATTGATGCCAAAGTCCATGTCTTCCCCATACTTCATTAAAAAAAAAAAGAGTAGATTTTAAGTTCTTCTTAAACCCTAGGCCATGGACCAGGAAACGTCCACAATCCCCTTATCTTTATCCAGCCCCAAAGCACTCCACACGGCATCAGACCCATCAACAATGTTATTCTTACAAGGTGGGCACCCCTGCCCCGAGTCACACTCGTCAACCACCTTAGCCGTTACGCTTCTTCCGTTACTGGCGGTGATCCTTATCATTTTCCCACACCTTGACCCTCCATTATACCAACCAGTGGACAGGGCCACTATATTCTCGGAGTTTCTATGATGTTTCCCATCACATTCAGATGGACCACCTTCGCTGAAATCGTTGTTCGTTAAGCGAGCTTTTGTGGCGGATGTAACTGGAGGTGAGCATGTGTAAGTGGGATGACTTTTGCCCTTGCATTTAAGAGTGCCTGAGGGCTGGCAGTAGGGCTACTTCCTTGGCAGATGTGAGTCCCCACATCAGGATCATCAGCGCACTTGCCTTTGATGCAAATGAGCTGACCAGAGCAGTCGTTCAGGTCTCGGCATGGACCGTTGCAATTGGAGAGAGCATTGGAGAATAATGGAGATGAAATCATAGAGAAGAGAAAAGAAAGAGAGGCTAAAAACAAAAGGTTTTCTATGTTAGCAAAGCTAAAGGCCTTGATTTGTTGGATATGGGATGGGGAAAACAGATTGGCCAATGGTATATATAGACGTTCAGAGAGATGCAGTGGAGGATTTGAACTGAAACTCTTTGGTGTTTTGTGAAAGATATTTTCTAATCGGACGTAGTAGTTGACGCCAAAGTCTCAAGTTTCCCAACTCTCAAGGGAATTTCGAATTCCTTCCAGCAAACCGCGTAATTACGCATGCAACTTCGAGTTTCTTCCCTTTTTTAGGCTGAAAAGTGAAAACTACTTCCATCCTTGCAATTCCATTTTGAAGGCCCTGAACTTTTTCTCTTTTCCACGTTAAGGTCTGGGTTCAATTAGAACTAAGTTTATTTGTGGGCTTTTATCCATTGCAATATTGAAAAAGTCACGATATTTTCTAATCGGACATAGTAGTTGACGCCAAAGTCTCAAGTTTCCCAACTCTCAAGGGAATTTCGAATATCTTCCAGCAAACCGCGTAATTACGTATGCAACTTCGAGTTTCTTCCCTTTTTTAGGCTGAAAAGTGAAAACTACTTCCATCCTTGCAATTCAATTTTGAAGGCTCTGACCTTTTTCTCTTTTCACGTTAAGGTCTGGGTTCAATTAGAACTGATCATTTGTGGGCTTTTGTCCATTGCAATATTGAAAAAGTCCCGTAGGGCCAAGAAACATGTCAATCCTGTCCAGAATAGAAACAGATCAAACCCAATCAAATAGTAGAGAATAGCTGGGCAAAATAGCTAGATTTAGTTTTATGATCCAAAAAAACCTAACTATCACTTTCCTTTTCTTTTTGGTGCAATTACCTGTCATTTTCTCCAATCATGGGAATTACAAATTCATAACAATTATTAGTTTACTTTATTTCCTTCTTCTTCTTCTTCTTCCTCTTCCTTATCTACTATTCTTTTTTTTTTTCCATTAGGTGCACATCATAATTCCCAGCCAAACCACCTGGCCAATGAATTATCATCATATCCATTTGATTTCACGCTTGACAGCCCAACCCCTTATATGCCCCCTATGACCCACAACCAGCACCTTCATCATTTTGTCATTCCACTAAAAAGGATTACCATGGGGTATAGCCTATCCTTTCATTTAGAGCGTGCAAATGCAATTGCTTTTATTATATGGTTGATTGTCCATCTTGTTCCCCAAGAAGAAGAAGAGGAATAGGTGAGTAGTACATAAATCTTTTTTTCTTTTTTTATCAATTCTGGACATTTCTCATTCTCCAAAGTCACACTATTACACCCCTTTTATTTGTCTTGGATTTATAAGATGATGACTAGCTGAATTAAATATGTGGTTGTCAATTTTTCATGTGTTAGGCAAATTTTATATCAAAGAGCTAGGAAGGGGCCCATCATTTCTTTTTTGATGCTTTCATATCATCAAAGCACATGAATGGTCAATCTGATTTGTGAAAATTAAACACATCTATTTTTCTTTTTTTGGAAGTTTCAGGATTGCTACATATAGTGACATGAATCCCTATAAATAGTACAATAAAAACTTCAACTCTCTCTCTCTCTCTCTCTCTCTCTCTCTCTCTCTCTCTCTCTCTCTCTCCCTCTTCCACAAAATTTGAGCAATTTAACAACGCTAAATCTATGGCACATCAAAGTCTAATTTAACGGTTAGAGTTTGAATTATGCTATAATTAAATTTTAGTACAATTATTGACAATAGAAAATTCAAGTGCACATAAAAATTTTGGTTATAAAGTTACCAGGTCCAATCATGTGATTATGGAATCAATTCTTCTTTCTTTTTGCGGGAAAACCTGTAAAAAGTTGAAAACACAGTAACACAATAGTTGAATCAGAATAGTATTGATTCCCTAAAACCATACAATGAAAAAAAAATAACAACCTTTATAATCAGCAGATGCTCCTCGAGGAGAACTATAATTGTTCAAGATAACACAATCATCACAATTTATCACAATTCATAAAAAAAATTATATTTTACAGTAAAAAAATCAACTTAACTATCATTGATCTGCACGAAGGAAAAAAAAAAAAACCCTATAACTGACATCTTTCCTTGATGATCAATATAGCAAATTAAGTCATCTCAGGTGATGATTACAGCAAGAATAATCTGTTATACCTTTCGACTAAGAACAAAACTTGCAATGATGATTAAAAAGTACAAATTCTAATTGAAAAAAGAACCAGCATTATTTAGTACTTTAAACTCTTCGAATTTCATAGGTTAGGTTATTTAATTAATTAACATATATACATATATATATATATACATTATCCAAACCTTTTAAACGTTTGCTAGTTTTTTTTACAAAGCTAACAATAATTTTCACTAATTCGCTAGTTTTTCATTGTGCTTTTCACTTCATCATTACTTCTTTTTTTTTTTTGATACATTCATCATTTATTTCTTTGTTTTCTTGCAATAGTATTTTTTTTGTCTCTTACAACTGAAAATTTTCACTGAATTTTCAGCTACATTGGACAACTTAGACGTTAGAAATGAAACTTCATATCAAGTTAAAAACAAATAGTTGATTTGTTGTTTTCACTTTCCTCCTTTGAATGATTCTTGGACACGAGCCACATCACATAGGGCAAAACAGTACTGCCAGTCCACTGGTTTAATTTCCATGAAAGGCAGATCTCCACGTAGAGGGCAGTTCAGTCAATTGAGCCAGTACATGAAAATAGTGGAAACTGAAGAAGAGCCAAAGGGTATGCCAGCTACGTTCTTTCCCAAAAGATTAAAAAAAAAAAAAAAGTTGTAGGCATCAGAAAGATGTGACCCCCACAAATGAAGAGGACACAACCCCTAACAGCAGAAAAAAGAAGGAAAAAAAAAAACTCTAGGGACCCTAAAAGCCAGTTCCTGTGCTCTGATGAGGTAGGCCAGGCTGATGTCACACTTCAAGGGCTATCGTCTAGCTGCCGATTGTTCCTTTTGCAGTTGCTTTTTCCCTAACCTTATTAATTAAGTATATATTGATTCATCAAGTTAAAAAACGGAACACTCTACTTTGTTGACTGTATACATATATTTATGAAGAAACAATTCTTAGGCTTAACTCTCTCAGTTTGCCCTCCCTGGGTGAAAGTTTTTTTCTTTCTTTTTTGGGTTCTGGATTTTGTGTGGGTTGTAGTACTGCTGGCTGGCTCCAATTGTGAATTTTTACCGTATATACATATATATATATATATATATATATATCCGAGGCCAAAGGCCAGGGGGGCCCTGCTCAGATGTGAGTTTTTAATGTTTTTATTGCTATCCCTGCCGGTTTATGTGTGCAAATATCCGACGGAAAAGGTTAAAGATTTGATTGGATTCAATTGTAAATCAAATCACTTTTGATGGGTGTGTTTTAAATCTTTTGTATTGGGAAATACTAATACCACTCTCATTTTTATATGATAGCAATTCATTCAATGTCGTAAGTATATTTCTGATTTTTTTTTTCAGATTTTTGAGTGTTTGATAATAATTTTAAATTTTGATTAATTCAAAATTAAATTAGATCAAATTTTATAAAAAAAATAAATATTTTTAAATTTATTTTTTTTATTTATAAAATTTTAAATTAAAATTTTATTTAAAAAATTAAAATTTTATCACTCAAACTAAAGATATTAGTATTTTTTACTTTTTTATCATGGATTTAACTCTTTCTATTTTTTTTCTTGTACCATTAATTTAATGCATATATATAAGTCACAAGTTTAAGGGTTTTTCCAAATTGAGTAACTACGCTATAGTTGTTAGACACTCAAATCGAAATTTGTTAGACACTCTTGATAATTGTTACATATTTTTACAAATATAATTCTCAAGCTAAAATTCAAGGAAAGATTCATAACATAATAAAATTATCAATTCATGCACGCCTTCCAAATAATTTTCATATTCATAAAATATAAAATAATTTATATGAAAAAAAACAATTTCATTTAAAAATAAAAAATCATATTTGGTTTATTTGAAATATATATACTTATACATTTAAAAAATAACTGATAATTGGATAAACCCTTATATAACAAGTTTAATTTAATAAGGAAAAAAACTGGCCAACCATTTAATGTGCCAATTAAAACATGTGAACCAACCTCCTAACGATATTAAAACACATATTGATCGGCCAATAAAATAAGGTTCACGTGGGATGGTGGAGGAAGCTAGTTGCGTTTCATGATCAGAATGAATGATGGGATTAGATCATCACTCAAAATATGCTTCACAATCAAAAGTGTGAAATAATTATTTTATTTTATAAAAACTTAAAAAAATATATAATTCAAATCAGTTTAATTTTAAAATTTTTCACCTCTTAATTTGAATATAATATATATTTAATATTAAATTAAATTTAAATCAAATAAAAAAATTAATTAAAACTAAATTAAATAATATAATTTTTAAAACTTTTAATTTTTTCTTTTTTTTTTTTCTCAGCCTCAACCCCAGCTAAAATGATGTAGAAATCTTATATTGTAATATTAATACTGGATAGAAAAAAAAAAAGCATGAAAGGAAAGTTAAAAGGAATGCAACGTGGAGGTGAAAGAGCAGCTTCCTTTTTCTTTCTCATCAAACCTGAAACAGAGCCAGCTCGACTCCGACGCCTCTGCCAAATCTGATTATTATTCTCCATCACACCATCAAGAATCCCAGCTCGGACCACGTGGGATCACATCCTACTCAGTCTTCACACGCCCTCACCCCCCCCCCCCAAACCCTGCAAAACCGTGACAGGCCCAAAATAGCACCGCTATCGATCTCTTTGATTTGACCGTTACCAGAGAAAAGCACCGGGGCTCCAACTTCGATAACCAATGCATTATCACCGTCCAATGCTTTGCTCCCTATCTTTTGATATTAAAATCGGACGGGAGATAGCCTGTACAATCTGGTTTAAATGCATGTCTAAAAAGAGAGAGAAAGGGGCTATTTGCCGTACAAAGAGGAAATCGTTGAGGGATATAATTACTTAATCGTTTATCGGTAATCGGTAAGAGAGAAGAGTTCATAAGCAAAAGATTTATGTGGCGGTCGGCATTGAAAGTGCGGGGTACGGGGACAGTGGCGGCAGTTTCTAGGAAAAACGGGTTCCTGATGTCACCTCTAGTTGCCCGTACAGCTTGTAACTCTGTTCAATGAATTCACATCCACTCAATGGCTTCCATTTCAGACAAAAATTTTTTTGTTTCTTACCGGTGGTGGCTCTCCATCTTAGTTTTTTCTTTTATTTTTTTACAAAATATGAAACTAACTCTGGAAATTATTTTTTATATAAAATTAATAATAAAAAATTTATGTGTAGATTTAATAAATCTGTATTTATATTTATAAAATATTAATAATTTATATATTTATATTTTATTTATATAAAAAATATATATCATAATTTATATTTATATTGATATAAATATTATATTTATATCATATCATTTTAAATTTCAAATTTAGAAAATGTTATCTTTTCAATATAATTACATAAATTAAGTTTTAAATTCATTTTTTTAAGCATATGTATATATTATTTGTTTTTACTACTACATATAGCATATAAGTTATTCAGTTATGGATGTTCAGAAGTAATTTCGTCAGTATAAATTCCTCTATTTTCTTTTTATTTTTTTATACACTTAATTAAAAGTTTAAATTTTCTATTAGCCATCCTATACAGTGAAGACAATTAATTTTGTAAGAAGTCAACTTTCACAGATAATAAAGAAACTCCTAATTGAAATTGATGATCAGCACTAAATCAAGAGTCTTTTAACTGAAGGAAGATGGAGATCTGTTTAGCAATTCTTCTACTAATTATTTTGGAGTGAGAAAATTTAAGTGCAAGATGGACTATAAGAGATGTGACGAACAGAGACAAGCTCGATATGGTACTTTATCAATAGTCTGATAAATTATTTGAATATCATATAACTTTATAATAAATTATCTTAATTTTGATGAAACTATTAGTATTTTTTTATAAAAAAAATCATAGCTTAAAGATAAAAATTTATAAATATTGAGTTTTAAATTTAGTGAATATTGTTTTTTAAAATAAATTATAAATAAATTAAAATAAATTAATTTTGATTAGATGAAATTACTAATATAATAAACCTTTATCGCTCCAATATTAATAAGTTTTTAGCAAGAGTATATGGTTTTTTTGTTTTTTATTATTAATTATTTTTTTATTTTAGCAATTCCTATTCATTTTATTTTAATTTTAGTTATTCATCTTTAGGTTTTTTTTTTTTTTTAGACTCAGATTTATTAATTTTAGCTTTGATTTGGTTGGGTAATAGTACATGTTATTTCCTAGGAGGGTTAAGTTTGTAGCTATACAGTGTTTGTTTACTTTTATCTGTCCTAAAAAAATTGTCAAGGTACAAATGGGTGACGCAATCTGCAGTTTCTGTACAGTGCATATAATTTCTCTAATATTCCTCCTCGTCCAATGGACTATCAGTTGGCTGAGCTCTTTCGGTTTTGTATAATGATAACCTCTTTTGATGTAACCATTTCCTTTATACATAGCGTGTACAGGAAAAAACAAAAAAAAAAACTAAGCTTTGCCATGCATGGATTATGGAGAACAGATGACCCTAAACCCTCTTGGTTAAGAATAATTCATAATTTTTTTTTAATTCTAAAATTAAATATTTGATTTTTACATTTTATTCAAGATAATTTAATTATGAGAAAAATTTAAAATTTTTAATAATATTTAAAGTTTTAAAATTAAAAATTCATATTTTTTTGTAGTATTTTAAGATTTTAAAAAAATTACATTATTTTTAAATTTAACATGAATAAAAAATAATATAATAGTTGTTATTCTTTTGATAAATATGTCTAAAAATGACTAGAATTTAGTTGTAAATTTTTATATAAAAAAATAATTTTTTATATTACAATTAAGGTATTTGGTAAAAAAAAACATATATAATCTTTTTATATTTTTATAAATGAATTATTTAAGGGATTTTTGTATTGAAAATATTTTAAATAATCTTTTTATATTTTAAGATTTAGGATTTATAGTTAATATTTTTTATAAAAATATTATTTAAGATATTTTTATACAAAAATTATTTTAAGTAATTTTTTATATTTTTATAAAATAAATTATTTAAGATATTTTTGCAAAAAAATACTTTAAATAAAATTTTTTTATTTTAAGATTTAAGGTTAATATTTTTATAAATGAATTATTTAAAGCGATTTCTTTACAGAAATGCTTTAAATAATTATTTCATAAGTTAAAGATAATTATTAAATGATTTATAATATAAAATATAAAGAATAATTATTAATTGATTCATAATATAAAAAAAATAAAAAGATCATTTAAAACATTTTTGTATAGAAAAAGCCTCAAATAATCAATTTTATAAATGTTTAATGTGTTTTTTTTGTAAAAAAAAAGTCCTTAAATGATCATTTTATAAATAAATTAAAAGAATATTTTAAAAATTTTCCATAATATAACAAAATGATAAAACACATTAATTGGTATTTTTTCTAATAAATTTCTCCATCAAATTTTGTTACTAAACAAAATCTCAAATACCTTAATTTGTGATATTTTATAAATAAAAACAGTAATTAAATAAAATATTTATTTATTTTACTGTTAAAGGTATTATTTATCATTGAATATTTATTATTAATAAAATAAAATAAAAAATTATTATCATATATATAAAAAAATTATAATAATTATACAAAAATTAATATATGTAAATTTTTATAATCAAACAAATAAATCTAAACGTGAAATATTTTAAAAATAAAAAAACTCATATATCATATATTTTTTAAAATCTAAAATTTTACGAGCCAAAATGCCCGATAAGAGTGAATATCACCCTATCAAATTTAAGCATAAAATATAATTTTCGATGCGATGAAACTCCTCTCAAATGAACTATCAATAGATAATTTTCCACTACTAAAAAAATCGAGTAATGAAATTAAGAGCACCAAAAAAAAAAAAAAGGAGATTTGAAAGCCGTAAAAAGTTGCATTACTTAAGGTGAAATCCTATTTCTGAAAAGAATGATTACTTTGGTAATTAACATGATTAAGCAAAGCTGCCTCTTCCAAACCTGTCCCCACGTATTTAGCTTTAAGCTGGAAAAATTAGGTTCAAACAAAGGGACCCTACGAGGGGACATCAGAAATCAGAATTCAATTCTTGAAGATTCACAACCTTGACCTCTCAAACACCCCCTCCCCTTAAAATCTAACGTCCTCTTTCATCTTTCCAAAGCTAAAACCCGTGCGTAAACGTCAAAGCTAACGGTCATTTATCACATTCCTTTTTTCGCAATTATTGTCCCTCTCAAAGGTTTTTCGTTTGTCTAACTCTATTTCTCGCCGGAAAATTCCTCGCCTCTGGGAAATTTTCCTTTCGTATTTGAGATTTAACTTTGTAGCAACCCCAAAAGAAAAGATATTTGATTTACACAATGAAGTTTGGCTAGCTGTTGCTTCTTTTTCTTGGTTGGTGGATGCTGAGTTAGTCTCTTTTTGGTTTCTGGGTCTACACTGAATCATGACACCTTGAGAAAATTGAGAATATAAAATATTATTTCACCATTTTTAATAAGAAAACATTTGCTACTAGTATTTCTTAACCTTTTCTTATTGTTCCGTATAAAGCATTTTCTACCAAAAAATCATACAAAGAAAAAGTTCATTGAAAGAGATATATAAGTACAAAGCTTCTTTTGATCTTATTTGATTAGATCTAAGCTTTAAAAACTTGGGTTTTTTCAGTAGCTTGAAACTGACGGGAGGCCATGAGTTCGTCAGCTTTGAGAAATTAGGGTTTTCAGAGGTTGACGTGAAGCTTATGATTGCCATAAGCACGTACTTGGGCAGTGTAGGCTTTCAGCTTTTTTATTTTTAAATAGCTTGATTTGATCACTGTGCTTCTTCTCACTCTCCTTCCCTGGATCTGGGCTCTGGGTTTGCTTTTTTTCTTGTTTTCTCTCCTATTTGGGGGAAGGCTAAGGTTTCGTTAGTTGCTTCATGTGAAGGAATAGCAACAGTGAGGTGTTGCCTTGGTGGGATCTGAAGATTTTTCCAAGAAGCCTAAGTGAACAAGGAAAGGAAACGAAGTAAAAATTTTAGAAAAGGATAGAGTGAAGTTTTTTTTCTATTGCATTGGGTGAGAAGTAAATTATTATTATTATTATTATTATTGCATAGTCCGTAAAATTTTTTCTGCACTATTTTTTCAACTTCACAGGAATTTCTGTTCATGTTGAGGGTATTTGTTGTGCATCAAAGCTCCCTCTTTTTCTCTCTTTCTCTCCCAGACTTCTGGGGTAACTTGGTTTTTTTTTTTTTTTGGTCTAAAATGTTGCTTTTTGGTTAGATAATTATTACTACTTAGGATATATCTTTGTCATTTTTTTCTTGTGATTTTATCGCAGATCATTGAGCTTGGAATGGAATATTATAAGCTTGATGAATTGCGTCAATTTCCTCTTGAAAGATAGTATTGCATGAGTCCCTAGGGTAGGGAAATCCTTGGCGAGGGCGCAAGGCAAGACCTTCGAAGTGATCCTTGTTATCTTAGTTAAATCGAAGAAGTACCTGTTATCTTGGTTATGGAGATGAGCAAGTTTAGACCTGAATCGCATGTAGCACAGCAAAGCCGCCGAGATAAGTTGAGGGTTCAACAAAGCTCCAATCTGGTTCAGCATCTGGAGGACTTTCCTAACAGTTTGGAACAAGCGTCCTCAGTCCAGCCGGGGCTAAACCCAGATCTTGTTCAAGTTCGAAATGTTAGAAATGCTAATTTGCTTTATGATTCAACTGTTATTTCTTCAGGTCTCACCCATCTCTCAACTAACTCTGACGCTTTACCACCTCAACGAGATGCAATACTGCATCAGGAATTACAAACAGCTCAAGAAAACCAGCATATGCCTGCTGAGGAATCCTCATTTTCCCGTGTGTCCCCGTCAATTTTATCCAAACTCGATGCTTCATCTAAATTTTCCGGTGACCCACAAGGTTGTGGTAATTGGAAGAGTGTTGATTCACAGCATAGTTGTGATTGGATGGTGGGTTATGCAAGTGGATTAGCTGGTAGGGAAAGCAATCAGAACCCTATGTTTTTTGGGGAAGTATTGTCAAATAATGCAAGGGAAAGCAATATTTCTGCAGCCACGCAATTTCTGATGCCTGATTACAGTGCCTACCAAGATGTTCAACCTACTCTATCCAATCTAGGGAGTGAAATTTCACCTTCACTCTATCATAATGCTCTCCAGGATGTTGTCACTACAGCTTCTCAGGGACTACGAGTGGCATCTCTTGTACATCAAAATGTCAGAGAAGCTGCCCGTGGTTCATCGATAGATTACTGCGGGAATCAAGCAAGCCCTTTAAAATATGATAACGCCGGTGCTTGGATGAATAGGCCACTAGTGGTGGAGCATTGTCAACAGTGGGGTGGTGAATTGGGGTTTTTGGCAAGCAAGAGTAGCGAAGAACTGGGGGCTGGTGCGAGTGATGCTGCTACTCAAGGGCTGTCTTTATCTCTTTCATCGAATCCCACACCGAAAATTTCTGGTGCAGCTCAATTCACGGAGGATCAGTGTGGTTCTGGTGACTTCAATTCACCTCTAGATTCGAAAACTTTAAAGCCTGGTCATTTGTGTTTGATGCAGAAAGCATCTGTAACTAGCAAAGGTGGTGGAAATACCCTTCAGGACACAGGTGGAACTTCAAATTGCGTTCATCGACAAACGGGCCCCCTTGGTCCTTTTACTGGATATGCAACTATTCTTAAGAATTCAAGATTTTTGAAGCCTGCACAAGAACTATTGGGCGAATTCTGTCTTATGACCAATTCGAAGCTTGTTAAAGTATGTGACATATCCGAGTGGATCTCCGGAGAAGTCAGTGCCTTCTCAGCTGATGCTGCCAATGCGGTAGACATGGAGGCTGGAGCTAATAAGGGAAATAACTTAGAGGCTTCGGCCTCTACCTTTTACAGTTCTAATGAAATTAGAGTTGATGTTGGCGTTGGAAGCAGCTCTGGTGAATATTGTAGGCCTGAGTACCAACAAAGAAAAGCAAAGCTCTTATATCTGCAGGAGGAGGTTGGTTATTTTCTTTTCTCTTTTATAGTCTTGAATTCAATTTTCATGTGCACTTTGAATGAAGGAAACTATCACATACGTTTATTTGAAGTCATTTAGCATTAATCAAGAAGTATTTATTGATTGTAATGCCTATATATATGTCACTGAAAAATTACTCCTGTGTACTTGTTATCTGTATTTGAATGCAAATGTTAAATTTGAAGTAGTTGATTGATAATCTAATGGAGTAGTCTTAAATCATTTTTGTTTTTTTTAGAATCCAAAATTTCCATATAAAAGTAAAAATTGGTTAAGCGGAAGGTGAAACCTTAAAGCAAGAGTTGAAGATTTTACGAGCTAAATGAAATGATAGATGGAGGTAAATTAACAAAAATAGATCATTGTCTTTTAATAAGCTTAGATGACTAACTGAATATAATTTAAAACTCAATGATGTAATTGAATTTACTACTCATGTTTTGGTATTGGTATAGAGAAGAGTAGAGAATTGCAATGGATGATATTTTAGGGAGCCATATATAACCGTGTGAAAGATTAAATTCTTCATTTCTATGGATGGATCATGAAAATAACCAAATTAGTCATTTGCCACAATTTTATTTTAGTCTAAACCGCACACTCTCTTTTGATTTGATAGAGACAAGTTATGTAGTCCTTTTATCGGGGAAGAGCTGCCCCACTAGCACTAAGATTATTCATTGAGGACTTTTAGCTTTTCCTTGAATTAGAACTTTGTAATTTATTGATTTGATCAACCTTTATGGTTGTCCATGAATTTATTTGTGTTCTACACTAGCTATTCTTACCATATAAAGAAGCCATGAACCTGATGCATATTTGTTGATTGATGCCTGTTGCATGATAAATAATACCATTTTCACAGGATTTTATCCCAAATATAAATCATTCATTGTTCTAATGTTTGCCTGCATAAACTGATGATACTGGTGGATTGTGAATCTAATTGCTATTTGGGAAGCAAAAATAGTCTGAGCTAGAAGCTACTCCTTGTCATAGTTCTATTTCTGCTGTCTATTCGCATAAATGATTGGAGCTCCTTTTTCCCTCAGTTTTGATAAAATGTTAGGTATAAGTCAATTTCTTTTTTATTTTGTGCACACATGATCCCTCTGACATACACCTTTCTATCTTGCAGCCAGGTGCAGCCAATATGCATCTAATCATTACTGCTTTTTGTAGTCTTTTTACATTTTTTGGGGTGTTTCTAGCTAGTGAAGTCCGTTTTTGGTAGGAAATTAAGTTCTTGCAATTAAGAACCGATGATAAGTGAAATTTATCTAACCTCCAACAGTTTAACGAAGGGGATCGGTGCAAGTGTTACTCTTTATTGTATTCATACTTGTTTTAGACTGCATTTTAATGATCAAGTCAACAACTAAAGTTACCAGCATTGAATAAACTTTCAAGTTGGAGTTTAGTTGCAGGCAAGAACAGAACATTAACTAGAGGGCCCATTTGGTCATATTGAGGCTTGCCACTAAATTCCAAGGATGCTCTTTCTAATTTTGAAATAATAATTAATTGCTGGATATCAATGTACTCTTCATCTCTGCATACCTTCAAATCAAATTACATTTCAATTAACAGTGCAGACCACTCTTTCAAAGCCACTTTATTAGAAAGTCTCAACCCCTACAAGTTGTACTCTTGCATTGGCTGAAGGCCTCATCATAGGTTGTAATAATAGGTTATGGAGCTGCCATAGCACTCGTTTATCTTCGATACTATTGATTTTCCTAATTTGGTCAAGCTGCTTGATCAGAAAATGAAGATTACAGTGAAATTGCTGTTCTCCAATAACTTCAATCATGTTTTTCTTTTTCTGACCCATAATTGTTTTTGGACTTTATCCTAGAAGCATCAATCTTCATCATGATAAATTAAATTTTTGAAGAATCTTTTCAATATTGACAAAGGAGCCTGTTTGTATTTTATTCTTTGTTGTTTTATCATGCTATTGTTAAGTAATGGTAGCTCAAGTTTTCTTTTATGGGAACCTGTCTGTGCATTGCCATTGTAAGGTTTGTAGAAGATACAAGCTATATCGTCAGCAGATGCAAATGGTGGTTTCTTCTTTTGAATCCGTAGCTGGTCTTAGTGCTGCCACCCCCTACATTTCCTTGGCTCTCAAGACAGTAGCAAGGGACTTTCGGTGCCTAAGGAATGCTATCTCAGGCCAGATCAGGCACATATCTAGAGCCACGGGAGAGGACTTATTGCCCCCAACTACCGGTACTAGCTTTAGCAAAGGTGATATAAATATGTCTAGGTTAAAGTATGTGGGTCAGAAATCTGGTGGGGTAAACATGGGCTTCCTTGAACCCCAACAACATGGCTGGAGGCCCCAGAGAGGTCTACCAGAACGTTCAGTGGCCATTCTTAGAGGTTGGCTCTTTGAGCATTTTCTTCATCCGTAAGTCTCTGAGTCTTCTTTTTATTTTCGTATTCCGACCCAAATATGTAACCTGCTGTGAGTTCCTCTGTATCTGCTTTTCTTATAGGTACCCCACAGACACTGATAAGCACATTTTGGCCACTCAAACAGGTCTTTCTCGAAATCAGGTGGGCTCTCTACTTCCTGTATGTTATCTAATTAGTTGTTCTGACACTGTGATTGGATTAGAATATAACACAGTTAAGTGGTTGATTTGGTTTGTAGACCATCTTTCCCGCCTGTTTTCTTAGTTGAAGCACCTGTGGATATAACTTGTCTTAATTTTGATATTGCCAGTCATGATGTTCAATTTTAAAGCTGGAATGGCATGATTCAAAATTCCAATCTTATGCTGTGGCATGATAATTGCTTGTTAATTACGACTAGAATCCACAAATGACATCAAGTTGCAAAGAATTTATAACGCAAATATCTAGCTTTCGTGATCCAACGATTTGCTTTGTTAACACAGGTGTCTAACTGGTTCATAAATGCTCGAGTTCGTGTTTGGAAACCAATGGTAGAAGAAATACATATGCTTGAAAGCAAAGGCTTGGCAGAAGGCAATCAGAACTTGAGCAAAAGTGATGGAAAATCTACTAGTGAAAGAGGTACCAGTCGGCCTAATGAGGACCTATCTATCAATGGGTCATGTATAAACGCAATGTCTGATAAGCAATTGGCTTCCTCAGATATGCTTTTTACTGGCATTGCGGGAGATGCACATGATGCAGAACACTGGAATCATGAGAAACGTTCTAGGATGGATTTTCATATCCCAACAAGCATGGAGGGTTCATTGATGTGTTTTGCACCATACGAGCAAAGCAGGCTTGAGTTGGGGGGCCTTGGAGCTGTCTCACTTACCTTGGGTCTTAGGCAAGGTGTAGAAAGTGCACAACAGCATCAACAACAATATCAACGGCAGGAGGATCAACTCAGGCGGCAATTTGGAGGTCAAATGGTTCAGGACTTTGCCGGTTGAGCTTATATTGATTTTACTATAGTTGAATTGAGTTAGAGATGAGCTAGCTCTTCCTTGTGACAATTTTCCAAAATTTGGCAAGGAAAAATCCTGCTAATACAGGGTTGCAGTTCACCTAATTGACACCATTTGTTTGTCATGTTAAATGTTTGAATGAAAGAGATGGCATCATCCACTCGTTGGTGCTTGGTAGTATGATGGCGAGAGCAATCATGTTTGACGTGGTGAAATAAATGTTTGGATTCAATTTTTTATGCAGTTTGTGTGGGACGCAGTTTGATTTGTCTTCGCAGGATTTAGCTCATCACTAATGTACAGAACATATCCAGTTTGACTGTTCTGAAAGTAAGAAAGATTGACATTCAAAGATTCATCGTCAATAAGTTGGCGCTGTAGAAATTCTGAGTATGAATTTATTGCCAAACAGTTTCGGCTTTGTGGTATAGATACATGTAATTCACAATTTGGGACCATATTTATTGGTCGTAGATATTGTGTTTACTGCTGCATATAATCTTGTCCAAGGTAAGGAAATTTGTCTATGAAATATATGCATACAAGACGTTCTGGGCCGAATCCTGGAGGGGGAAAGGAGAAAGAGTCTCGTGGACATTTTTTTGCTGTTTGATATTCATTAGCGTAGCTTATGGTTGCCCAAAAATCTGCTTGGGTTGTTTTTCATCGTCTAGTCAGACAGGCTTACTTTTTGACAAAATGCCCCATAATCGAAGAAAACTTGATTGTGTGAAAATGATCCAGTTTCATCGACGTGATGGCGCTAAACCCTAGGCATGAAAACGTCCTAGGATACCAGCCTTATTCTCCCATGATCACTTGGGTCTTTGATCTAACATAAATTTGGTCATCCCATGCAATGCAGCTGCCATGCATGCATGCATGGGGATTATATTTGTGTCCTACATTTATATAAACAACATATATATATAATATTAAAACCAGAACAATAATTCAAGGCACACACTACAATACAGAAGCTAATTAGATCGCAGAGTTATATCTCGAAAAACCTAATTAAACATGAAGTAACATCATATTATCATCTGACAGTCGATAATTTATTCCTCACACCATTACCATATGTTGCTGATCTCATGAATTTACCCATTTCCGTCTCCATCACCTCCAGCGCCACCAGGGTAGTTATTAAAGTCCTGCCTTGGAAGGAAATGGTGGTTGTTCACGCTGCTCGATGGATAGCCGGTTTTGGCATCGTCGCCATCCTCAAGCAGCTGCCGCCCATGGACAATGCTGTTTTCATGCTTGAGCACAACTACTTTTCTGTTTGTAGCCAAGCAGGAACTCGCCATCATCAATATTACTAAACCAAGAGCCAGAAACCTCATTCTAGCACCCATTGCTTTGTCCTGTCTACAAAAATCAAATATCTGAGATATCTAGACCAGCTATCATATACATATCTATTAAGTTCTGATCATAACTCAAAATTTCAAAGCTCCAAATGTTTGAAAAGGCAATTAATTTAGCAAGACATTTACTTACCCAAGTAGAGAAAATGAAGTAAGGATTGAGTTGATGGCCTTGAGGAGAGCCAAGGCAGAGGAGAGAAAAGCTAAGTCTTATATAAGGAGTACGGTTCATGTCACTGATATTAGAAAAAAATTAATATAAATTTGGCGATGGAATCTCCACTAGATGAGGCAAGATTAAGTGGGATGACCCTCGTGTATCGTACAAGTTTAAAAAATAGATTAAAATGATGAAATTGAAAGAAATTTTTTGTCCACATTGTCACTAGCCATTAATAGGAAAATTCCACGTTAGAAGTGGTTTTAGTTGATGCAAAAGTCAATGAAGCATTATAAGGCGTGGGTGTTCTATTGCCTGGTGATGTCAAAGCATAGTGACCTAAAAAATAGTATCCCCTGAAGTTTCGTGGAGTTCAAAAATTTGAGCATCTAATATGTTGCACTTGAAGCAATAATCACAACAATACAGAAGTAATAGACAACAATCAACAATCAATAATCAAATATGCAAGAAAAATAAAGCACATCAAAATTTACGTGAAAAACCCTCCAATGTAGAGAAAAAAAAATCACAGGCCACCAGAAAAATCTTCACTATCAAATAATAGTTATACAAAGTTCTTCTCTAGCTAAAACTAGAGCTAATCAACAACTAGAGAAACAATTGAAGAAATCTCACCAAATAAGTGACTCAACAAATACACCCTAGATTTGTTCTTAGAGAGCTTCAAATCCGATCTTCACCGTTTAAAATGTAGAACTCTGAATCATAAACCTCCTGACAAGATTCCAACTTAATCGGACCACGGATTGACTTCCGTTCAACCAACTCTCCCTTCTCTTTTTTCTCTCTCTACTTTTCCTGGTTTTTCTTCTTTCTCTGCTTGGTTTGCGACACACACATAAAACAACCCCACCTCTTTTTTATTAAGTAGCTAAAATTCTATGTAAAATAAAAAATCAAGGCCCATAACCTTTACTTGATCTAAAACCACTGACATGATATTAGACCCTATTTTCTTAACATAATCCATGCGAGACGCTTGGAATATATTTCATGATTACTTGCTTTCAAATCAATCTATTATATATATTGACATATCTGAGTATATCTAGATGCCAGCGGAAATTTGTGAGCCATTTGACAGCCTAATCTGCAACATAGCTTTCCAGAATTCCTATAACCATTTTCTTTTCTGTATAATTCATCTGGAACTACCTGAGCATTGAGCTCGATGATAGGCATATCTATCTCCCAGCGTAAAGAGTAGAGTTCGAATTTTCTTCCCCCAAAGAAAAAAAAAATAGTTTGGAACTTGTGCTGAAGAGAAGAGAAGCCTCAGTGCTCACTGCAAACAGGGCTGCATGATATCATTGGTTAGTTCTCAAAATTTTGCTGTGTAACTATTTATTTATATCATCCACAACTAAGAAATATATAAATTTAAAAAATGATCACTTTCAAACTATAAAAATCCCTTTGCATTTTATAGTGTAATGGGCTGAATTATTGTAGCCAATTGCAATGCTACAGATACTTCATCAATGGTCTTGGAGAACTTTGGAGGATTTGATTGACACCAACATTGCACTTTATTGGATATACATAGCCACATTGTTATTAGTAGTATTATTAGCTTATAATAGACAGCAAAAGCAACCAAAAGATCTTCAGCCCACCATCCGTCTGCTAATTATTGTAGGGTTTTAGTCAAGGTGTTCTCATGACACCTGAGGAAGTGAAAGCAACTTTCATGACACCAAAAGTAATTTATAACCAGATTGAGTACAGTGATAAACACCAATAATCAAGAATTAACAATCAGAATGTATCTACTACTAATATTTTAACTCTTCAGTTCTGAAGCAAAAGGCTTAGCCTTCTATAATGGAAAATTAAAGCTTACTTGAACAAAATATTTTCATGCATCAATGGGGGGAGGAGTATCTGGTTCCATCTCTATTAGTGTAACACGTGGTTGGAACTGCTGAGCAACATTTTTTGGATTGAACTGTAGCTTCCACGACTTGTGGATTGAGTTGAATGCATGAGGACAGCCGTTCATCTTATCTACTTGTCTTTAGCTGGACAAATCAAATCCAGGGATTGGCAAATGGCAATGCTACTTAATTAAAGTGAACTATTGTAGTATCACTGTGGTAATCATGATCAACAATTTTAATTTTTGCCTACGGCAATTATTACACCACTAATCTTACCACTAATAGGCTCAGCAGATGGCCTTTATTTATTGTTATCTATGAATATAGCTACCAACAAGATTATTGCCCCCTGTTCACATAACCAAGTATACTTGATTTTATATTTGAGGGACTAATATATCTATAGCCACCTCTTTCTTTTGAAATTTTTAAAGGATCAACAATCAAAGTAATTTCTTTCTTTAATTGAAAATTTAATTTAATTGATTTATAAAATCATTTTTAAGAAGTGACATCCAGTTGATCAATATTTAAATCTCAACACTTATAACTTCTTCTTTTATCTCAAGTTATGGTACTTTTTACGTACAAAATAATTTCTTATATATATATATATATAAATAAAAGTGTTCATAGATTGAAATATATTCAGAACATTAACAATATTAGGCTTAATTTGCCCAAGCGCCATAGATGAGGAAAGAAGTTCAATTATTTGGGTTCGGGTCTAGTTCCATATAATACTGGAACTGGACACTTGTTTGAAGCCTGACCCAATTGGTTTGAGCATCAAACTCTTAATCTAAAGGTAGCTCAAAATTTTATCAAATCTAACTTTTGTCCAAACTCAGACCAAGGCGCAATGCAGGCTCTAGTCCACCCTCATCCATGGCCTTGCCTAAATGGTACCCTATAACAGGGAGGTGAAGACCAAATTGCAGATCTAACAGGGATTTGTTGGTTTGCAGTTTGGGAAACATTTCAACAAAAACTTGTTTCTCTCTAAGCCATAGTAAAAAAATATGTTAAAGAATTTTCTTAAGGTCAAACTGTATATAAAGTCAATTGTTCCAATTGTTCCAATTTCATAGGTATGAGTTAATTGCTTTGTCATTTGAGACAAATTTCAAACGAAAATTTCCAAAATTTTAAGGGTATTTTCTGGTCGTTTATTGTGCTTTACTCTGCTGCTCTTCAAAGTCAAACAATTGAGATATTTAAACCCAGTTTTTTTTTTTTTTGTGGAAAATTGAAACCCAGTTTTAAGATATATGAGAATTATAGATGGAAGTTTCCGAAGTTAAACTTTGTTTGGTACAACCTAGATTTACTCACCCAATTGTAGGTATAATGTAAAAGATTGTGTGATGGGCATCGGCAAAAAAATCTAGTCTATATATAAGATTTATTTGGTGTATTAGATTATGATAATATATGATATCATAAATAAGATTATATTAAATAATATTATCTTATTTTATATTTGATATAAATAAAAATTAAAATAAAATAATTTTATTTATTAGTTAAAATTATTTTTCATTAAAATTTATATAATTTAAATTGTTAATAAAATTTTAAAAGATAAAATAAAATATATAAATTCAATATCATGGATTGAAAATAATTTTTTTCTTACACTCTTATTCTTTTCTTTAAATAAAAACCCTTACACTCTTATTCTTTTTTTTAATAAAAATTAAACGTATATTTTATTTAGTATTTTATACATCACACACGGTCATAAATATCAATATTTGAATGAATTTGGGGTCAAATAACATAAAGAGAAGGTTCCAGTGATATTTACTAGCCAAGGGGGTGGCCAGGCCAAGGCCCCCCGCCGCCCCTGGTCAGAAGCTCAACGTAATAGCGTTAATCAGCTACTTGGTTTTTAGATCTAACAAGGATTTGTCTCTTTGCAAGCATACGGAGATATATATATACATACATATATATATATATCATAATATATAAATTTATAGTCGTATATTTAAAAAAAGAGTTATCATCAATTTTTTTATAAATATAGTTGATCATCTAATTAAATTTATCTCATTTTAAGTAAATGTTCTAAGTTTGATTTAAGTATTTTTAAAATGTAAATTTATATCTATGAATTTATGATTAAGTCTAAAAATATGATTATATATAAAAAATATTATAGCATCCTTACAATGCAAATTCAAAGGATTGTACTAGTTTAATTTCGTATTGTGTAAAAAACATTAAAATTATCAAGTAATTAATTATTAAAAATTATTCTTAAAATTATTTCAATATATTGATAATAATTTAAAAATATTTTCTTATTTTAGGAATATTCAAAGAAATTATTTGTCACATTTTGAATAAGCTTACTTGTTGGATTCATTTAGTGATAAGTGGTATTTTTGGTGAGAATCTCGATGTTGAATTTTTTTTAATTCTTCAATATGTTGGTAAAATTTTTTAAAAAATTTTTCATTTAGAAAATTACATAAATATTGCTACTTATAACGCTTTTGGTGATTTCATCATTAAATATTTAAAATCTAATTTTACAAAAAAAAATTATTTTAAAAAATATCTTCAAACATATTGATAAAATTTTTTACTATAAATTATCTTCTAATATATTTGTTAGATTTTATAAAAATTATTTTTTTCTAAAAATTAATTTTTATTTAAAAATCATAAGATTTTCTTATATATTAGTAAAATTTAATTCTAAAAATTAAATTATCTTCCAATATATTGATAAAATTTTATTAAAAATTATTTTTTCTCTTGAAATTTATTTTTTATAAAAAATTAATAAGAATCTCCAATATGTTGATAAAATCTTATTTTAAAAATCAAATTGCCTTTCAATATGTTTGTAAGGTTTTTTATTTTATTAAAATAATTTATTAAAAATTTGAATATTCTAATATGTTGATAAGATTCTTTTTATTTAAACTTTTATTTTTAAAAAAATTTGAATCCTCCAATATATTGGTAAAATTTTTCTTATTTTATTTAAAAAATTTTTTTCTTCTTTTTTCTTTTTTTACAAAAAAATTTACAATTAAATAAATACATAAATAGTCAAACAAATAAACAAACAAATAAATAAATAGACAATTATGATAAAATACAAAAATAACTAAAACTTAAGAAAAAAAAGTAAAAAAAATACTAAAAATTGAGCTACAATTTATTTTAAAGCATGTGGGCTTTTGTAATTGTGTTTCTTTTCAACTATTTTCCCTAAACTCTCAAAAGAAAATCCTAATTATTTAAACCAAAAACACTATAAAGACTATAAAAAAAAAAAAACTCTTAATTTTTTTATTTCTTTTTACTATTTCTCTTTTGAATTTTTTGATTGATTCTTGATCGTTCTTACTTGATCCTAAAAGAATTTTTTTATAGGCCTCTAATCTCAATTACAATAAGAAAATGGGTTTTCTTTGTTTGAATCTCCTAATCAACTTCAACCTTAAATTTTTAATTTAAATATATTTCTTAAACCAATTTTTTTTTACAGTTTTTTTTCAATTAAAACATTTTCAATTCAACAATCCAATTAGAATTAAATATTCTTTAAGTTTCAGCAAAAAAATTTTTTTCTTTTAATTAAATAATAATAATAACTTTAAACTAAATATAATTTCAAAAAAAAAAATTCAAAGTTTAATTTTAAAATATAAATTAACTCTGAACTAAATGATGTATATACAATATATATAAGCCAAGATCTCATAATTTTTAAATTATTTTTTTAATAAGTCAAAGTATAAATTCATATATTCCAACCAAATAAAGTTTTTTTTTTTTTACAGCAGTTGTTTGATTAAGAATATCGTTGGTGACAGCTACTTAATTATTTTTAATTTCTTCAACAACCCCATCGCACAATCGTAATAAGCATAAGCAGTTACGTAGCAGTTTCTTCGCAGGTAACTTGGGGACGCATGTGAACAGACTGAGTCAATGGAGGAAGCTACATTTTTTTTTAGTTTCTTTCCAAGAAAAAGTCATTAGAAATCCTCAAATTCATTCCGATTCTGAAAGCATGTATTCGCTATTTTCTTGGAAGAAGTTTTTCCTTTAGAAGCTTCGATGTTTCAATGATAAAGCTGCAATCTCATCTTCCAATGTTTCAAACGTGTGCTATGACTGACAATGGTGTCTAGCATTCTTCCATGGGGAATCCCAATTTTCTTCCAAGCGTGATGCAATACAGTTGGACTCGGAAGGAAATTTAATGCAATACTTATTAATGGAAACAAACAAACTCTTTCTTTTTCCTTCTTTGGTCAAGTATAACAACATGTTTTGAACATTTTGGACAGAAATTTTCAAATAAAATCTACATTTACCGTGTTCCGGAACTACAAGGAATCACCGAAATTAAGCAAGATATACGGGTTGTGATCTCATCACCTTTAAGATAATCGAAATTGTTGAACACTTTGACTAGAAGATTATACATTCATTAATTAAAGTGTTGCAGATCCATATTGACAGGAGAAACAATTACAAACAATTGCAGTAGGTAATGACTTTGTTAATCAAGCAATTGCAGCCATTTAAAAGGGTTCTTAATACTTGTACCAGTTGTCATTTTAATTATAGTTTAATTTATGTATTGGAGTTGAAAGTTGAAATCAACTTAATTTGGCTGCTCCGCTTCCTTTTTTGATCCGTGAATTCCAACCACTCAGAAAAAAAATTTGTGCCGTAGAAAAAATTACGTGATTAATTGCTAATCAAGTAATATTATTTTAGTATATGCTTTTTAAACATTTCTTTTGATTCCCTATCAGCTTGCTTTCTTGCAATGAATTTTCCATTTTTTGTGGGGTATGACTTTGTCCTTATTACGTAGGTCTCTTTTGTCTATTTTACTTTGGATTAAACTTCCAAGAATTGAAAGAAAAGGAATATATATATATATATATATATATATATTGGGTTCAATCGTCACCCAACACGTCAATCCAAAGAAGCATGTTTTGAAGACCAAGTAGAAGAAAAGGCACCTGCTACTGCAAAGAACACCTGGGCTTTTCATAAATTTCTATTCCATTTATCAGAATAATATTATAGCATGACTAATAGAAAAGGTTGGCTATCAACTTGTCGTTGATTTCTTGTGTTCATACTTGCTACCAAAAGGGCACATTAATCTAATAAGAATTTGATCCCCAAGAAAGCATTTTTTTTTTCTACATTTTCAAAGGAATACATTGATTTTTCAAATAGAACTAAACTATATATAAAACTGCCTCCCTCTATCCATTCTTTAACTACTAATAGTCTCTTGGATATATTATAAGCTACATTAACAAAGATGGCAAAGCTACCAACCCATTTCTTCACTTGCATTTTCTTCATTGTTCTTGCCTTACAATATTCATTCCCAGCAACATCTCAAGAAGTCGGTATGTAGGACTTTTTTTTTTTTTTTTGTATTTGAAGCCAGCAAGGGTTGAATCTTATCGGTAAATCATTTTGCATATTGTTTTCACTAAGAATATTCATAAATATTTTCTGATTTTAATTTCTTTTTGTTGTAGAGCATGAAGGTGAGTTTGATTATAAAGAAAATAGTGAAAAAGGGCCAGCAAGATGGGGAGAGATTCATCCAGAATGGAGTGCATGTAGCAATGGATCCATGCAATCTCCCATTGACATGTCGAATAAAAGAGTTAAAATAGTGTCCCATCTAGGGAAGCTTAAGAGAAGCTACAAGCCAAGCAATGCCACCCTAAGAAACAGGGGCCATGACATGATGGTGATGAAATTAATTCAGTTTAAGGATACATATTCTCTTTGATTATGATCAATGTTTATAATTATTTTTCACTTTTTTATCTCATTTTTTGACATGTTATTTAATGCTCTCAAAAAATATAATTCACAACATAAAAATAAATAAATAAATAAAGAACTGATCCCTTTTGTTTTATTCTTTTTGTGCCACTATTAATGAGTACTAAACCAAATAATTATTTCATCCTAATTTACATTTTTCAATTTAATCATTGTAAAATGTGACTTGAAAAAGTTGTAATAGGTGAGATGCCATGGGCCAGTAAAATCAGCAAATTCTTACATATATGTTTAATATTAAGAAAAATATTTCTTCCTATTTTCTCTATCATGCGACTAAAGATCGATCATATTACCGATCTTCAAAATTTTCCAATAATTTGAATCAATTTGTGTATGCAGTTGAAATGGGAAGGTGAAGCAGGAGCTATAGAGATAAATGGTACTGAGTATGCACTCCAACAGTGCCATTGGCACTCGCCTTCCGAGCACACCATCAATGGCAGAAGGTAATATATATATATATATACACACACACACATATCCCTAGTTTCTTTTCTCTTACTTGATCATAAACTCGACAATTATAACAGAAAGAAGAACAAATTATACTTATGGGAGAATTCAATCTTCCAGGTATGATTTAGAGGTGCACATGGTTCATCAAAGTGCAGATGGCAAGGTTGCTGTAGTAGGGATAATGTACAAGATTGGAAGACCAGATTCTTTCCTGTCTTCGGTAAATAAATAAAAGAGTTTTCCCATCCATATATTATTTTCCAGTGTTAATCTGATCATATAAGATCAATTTATTGATTAGTTGAATCTGTCTCACACATCTGTCTTGTCGGTTACCCAGTTGGTGGATCATTTAGCAGCCATTACTGATGTCACGGAAGGCGAGAGAGTGGTGGGTGTGATCGATCCTAGACACATCAAAATTGGCAGCAGAAAATATTACAGATACATCGGCTCTCTTACTATTCCTCCTTGTACTGAAAATGTTGTGTGGAGCATTGTCAGAAAGGTGAGGACTGTAACCAGGGAGCAAGTGAGATTGCTTCGTGTGGCTGTTCATGATGTAAGTTCCTGATTCTACTTTTCATAATCCAACCTTAATTTCCAAGAAATAAATCTAAAGAACATAATCTTAATTTTGCAGACTTCAGATAGTAATGCAAGGCCACTGCAATCAATAAACAATCGATCAGTTCAACTCTTTCGACCAGCTGATGAGGAAGAGAATTAAAATCTATGCATGAATGAGTTTGATTAGACAATTCGGCAGCTAAAATTTATTGTTATTCATACACACTTCCATTGATTTTTCCAGGAATATTATATGATCTTCTGAATTTTCCGAGATTTTGTATTTCTTCTTATTATTTGTATTATCACTAATGCACATTACTAGCACTGAATCTACATTGTAATCTTTGTTGCATGTTCAGAATTTTTTTAAGTCAACTTGCCAATTTTCTCCGGCTTCGCTTGGATCATACTATCTGTGTCTAATTCTGGTAATAATTACTGTTTAATTTTCATTTATCGAGGTTGTTTGTTGGGCCTTAGCTTCATTTAACAAACAATTCCATTTGAGCATGCAAGCTCTCAGATCCAACTTCCTCCTCCATGAGGCCTAACATCATGGCTATTGTCTATGAATATGCTGGGCTCCTTAACACCAAACATCAGCGCGCACTAGGCTCAATTTCCAACTATAGGGCTAAGCGTGGTGAACATAAATATTGGTTTCAAGGGTTTGTTTCGGAGTTACCGAGTTACTATTAGTTAAGTACTAGCTTCAAAACTCGAAGTATGTGTCAAGAAGTGGCCAAAAAAAAGTATGAGTTAAGAAAAGGTAATTTTGGTTCTGATAATTTAACACAACCAGCTGTGAAATGGACGTGGATTATGAGATTTTTCAATTTACTTCGAGTTTTATCAGTGCGCTTTTTTTCAACTATGCATGAAAAGTGATTTTTGTAGTAGTTTCGTTGCAGTGGAATTGGGAATAATGCATTGGAACCAGACTGCGTCAATGGCCGCTAATTTTCTTTTTTAGTTTCTTTCCAAGAAAAACCATTAGAAAACTTCTAATTCGTTCTTATTCTGGAATCATATTTATTTTGGACAGTTATTTATTGAAGCTGTGGCTATTATATATAATTAGAGGGGTAAATAAATAGATATTTTGATAAATTATTCGTAAATATATTCGGTTTATATTTGTTTATTTTTGTTTATTAAGTTTAACAAACGATCTTAAATAATATTTTTCTGTTCGTTTTGTTGCGTCTGAAGCAATAATTACAACAATACAGAAGCAATATATATCACAATAAATTCACAGCAATAGATAAAAGTAAATAATAAAAAATGTAAGAAAAATAAAGCACACCAAAATTTATGTGAAAAATCCTCCAGTGTAAAAAGAAAAATCACGGACCACCAGAAAAATCTTCACTATCAAATAATGGATATACACAGTTCTTCCCTAGCTAAAACTAGAGCTAATCAATAACTAGAGAAACAATTTGAGAAATATCACCAAATAAGTGACTAAATAAATATACCTTAGATTTGTTCCTAGAGAGCTTCAAATCTGATCTTCACCATTCATAATGTAGAACATTGAATCATAAACCTGTTAACAAAGTTTCAGCTCAATCAGACCACGGATCGACTTCCGTTCAACCAACTCTCCTTTCTCTTTTTTCTCTATGCTTTTTTTGGCTTTTCTTCTTTTTCTTCTTGGTTTGCGACACACCCTTAAAACAACCCCATCTCCTTTTATTAAGTAGCCAGGGCACTATGTAAAAAGAAAGACCAAAGCTCATGACCTTTGCTAGGTCTAAAACCAATTACATAGGGCTGGATTCTATTTTCCTAACAATCTCCCCCTCTCGTCCCATTAAGAGAAGATTCATCACCATAGCAGTTTCATTTAGAACTTACCTTGGTCAAGGAACTCATTCCGACCAAATTACTACAGAGCTCAAGCTTTTCCCTAAGAAGTATCTTAGTCAACATATCTACTACAGTTTCATCAGTATGGATTTTCTTCAACAGCATTTGCTATTCCTTAATCACTGAACATAACTAATGATATCTAACATTAATGTGCTTTGTTCTAGCATGGTACATGGTATTCTTACTCAAATCTAAAGTACTCTGGCTATCATAAAACACCACATACTTTTTCTGATTCAACCTCAATTCAAAAAAAAATATTTTATCTAAAGCATTACTTTATCTGCTTCAGTTGCTGCAATATACTCAGCATCTGAAGTTGACAAAGCAATACACTTCTGTAACTTAGACTGTCAAGACACAGCTCTTCCTGCAAAAGTGAACAAATACCTTGAAATAGATTTTCTATCATCAAGATTGCCTGTTATGTCAACATCAGTAAACCCTTCTATAACTGATTGTGAAACTTCATAACTCAAGCACATTTTTGAAGTGCCCATCAAATATCTGAAAATCCATTTCACTGCTTCCCAGTGAATCTTTTCTAGATTAGAAAGAAATCTATTCATTACACTAACTGCATGAGCAATGTCAGGTCATGTACAAACCATAAGATACATTAAAGAACCAACTACAAAAGAATAAGAAATACTAGACATAGTTAGTTGCTATTTCTTATACACTAGGCAAGATTTCTTACTCAGATAAAAATGGTTGACAAGTGGACTGTTAACTGATTTAGCATGTTGTATGTTGAATCTACTAAGCACTCGTTCAACATACTTTTTCTGTGACAATTATAGCTTTTCAGCTCTTCCATCAAAGATAATGTTCATATCGAGAATCTGTTTTACTGGACCTAAATATTTCATATCAAAGGACTTAGACAATTGTTCTTTCAACCTGCGAACTATACCAACGTCTTATCTCACAATCAACATATCATCAACATATAATAAGAGAATAATAAAGTTACCATCAGAGAATTTTTTGATATACACACAAGAATTTGCTATCATTTTTTTATAGTTATGACTCACTATAAAATAATCAAATTTCTTGTATCACTGTCGTGGAGATTGTTTCAAGCCATACAAGCTTTTTTTTTTAATTTGTAAACTAAGTGCTCTTTTCTTTTCACTTCAAAATCCTCATGCTGATTTATTTAAATTTCTTTTTCAAGTCACCATGCAAGAATACAATTTTAACATCAAGTTGCTCAAGCTCAAGATTCAAACTAGCTATTAATCCTAATACCACTCGAATAAAACTCATTTTCATAACTAGAGAGAAGATTTCATCAAAATCGATGCCCGATTTTTTAGAAAAACCTTTCACCACCAATCGAGCTTTGTACCTTACTGGCTTATCACCAATATTTTTTAACTTGAACACTCATTTATTTTTTAATGGCCTCTTCCCTTTTGAAAGTTTAACTGCAATACCCCAGCCCAAATAATAATTAGGCTAGACTAATACTAAAGTCCATCAGTTTATTAAGACATTATTTAGTAAAAAAAAAGGGCTAAAGTATTAGATGAAAGAAAACCTATCTATCGTGAAACAGAAAGAAAATAGAGTTCTTCTTCCTCATCTTTCTTAGGGTTAGAGAATATGAAAAATCAAGTTGGAGATTCACAATCAGAGGCTACAATCAAGTTAATCCCTTAAAGGTGAGTACATGCCCTCTTTTTATTTGAAAAGAAATATCAAGTTGATTACTATTATTTGGAGTTGAAGTTTTGAGAGAAAAACCAAGAAAAATCATGAAATCCTTCATTAATCTTGATGATCTATTGGGGTAAATTACTAGGCTTTATTTATTTCATGTTCTTAAGATTTATTGATGATTATTGAATGGAGTTTGAAGGCTGAAAGTAAGGATTTGAGTTTTTAAAGATTAAAGGAAAATTTTTATTTTTGGATGAGATATTGTGATCTATAATAATGAATTAAAATAGAATTTTGTATTAATGGATAGATTATTGCTCTGGTTATTATATATCATTGGAAAGCATGTTGAATCTAGTTTCTAATGAAACAAACGAAAGTCAAATTCGAGTTTTCTATGAAGACTTATCTAATTTTAACTTAAGGATATATAGGCTGTAAGACAACAATATCAGAGTTGAATTACAAAATTCTTCTTAATTTGTATAGAAGGATTTACAGATTAAGCCATATATGTTTGGAAAGCTTATTGAGTCTACTTTCCAATGAAATAAATGGAATTGAATTTGGAGTTTCCTGTAAATAAATATATAATTTTTACTGGAAGGTATATAGTCTGTTTGGCAGCAGTATATGACGTGGATTTTAAAAAATGTTATAACTAATCTACAAGGAATTACGAGGTGTGCCATATATGGTTAGAAAGCTTATCAAGTCTAGTTTCTAACGCATTAAAGAGATCATAATTTTGATTTGGATATATTGAGATATGACTATTTTAATAAAAAGAGGTCAGGCTACCGGTATTAATTAGTTAAGTTAACCCTTGTGTAACTTAGTTGATTTTTGTATAAATGGTCCCAAAAAGGGTTGATTAAATTCTGATCTATTGAAATGATCTTGGATAGGCCATTAATTATTTCGGAAGGAAAAACTAAGTGGTGGAATCGAATGGAGGTAAGTAGAATCTCACACACTTTGCTTGTTTTCGAATCATATATATATATGTTTCTAAATGAAAGAATGTTTTATTTCATTATTTTCAGTGTATGAAAATAGGATCAAGCATATGATTATTTTATGTTTCTCTATATAAATGATGGATCGTGCTTATGAATGAAATGAGAAAATGATTTATGTTTAAAGAATGATTTTATGATAGCTACGTTTTTATATCCCTGGGAAGTGAGATCATCGACACCAGAACTAGTTCTACGACCCTGGCTAACGGGTAATAGTAGTTAGCAAAGACATGATCATACGACCCTGGCTAACGGGTAATAGTAGTTAGCGTAAGCCTTGACTAACGGGTTATAATAGTTAGCAATGATCATGAGAATGAAATTGTCGATACGGCCAATGTCATTGGTTATAGCAGTGACCGTAGCTAATGATTGAATGATAATGATGACTTATGATAATGATGATTTACGATAATTTTTAATGATTGATCTATGATTTGGTTTGATTATGATATTTGAATAGTAACATATTTTACAATGATTTATGAATTTACGAAATATTTGACAGAACGATGATATTAAGATATTTTGACATTATGATTTGATGAATATTTTGAATGATCTATATGACATGTATGAAACGATGTTTAATCCGGTAATGTGTGTGAGCCTTCACTTATTGAGCTATGGTTTGCTCATTTC